TATATATATAATATATATAATATATATAAATGTATTTGGTTGTTACAGAGTCTTCCTAGGTAGCTCAGACTCACAGTGATCCTTCTGTTTTCAGCCTCCCCAGTGCTGAGATTACAGGTGCACGCCACTACGCTCTATGCCCAGACTATGTGGCCCACTCCACCCATGCTGGGGGCGGGGCTGGTGCTGAGGGGATTGAACCACAGATTTCTGCACTTGCCTAAGCTTGTCTAAGCAGCTGCTTTAGCCTGCTGAGCTATCATGGCAGCCCCATCTGACTTATATTTTTAAAGTTATAAGGATAAGCTTTTGCTCCTTAATAATTACCTTATATCTGAAAACTTAGAATTTTTATTTTTTGCAGGTTTAACAGCTCTGTACTAAAACTTTGTAGGTAAGTATTGATAAAAGGAGCAAATCTCCACACATTTGTGCCCATGTGTGAAAAAACAACAACAGTAAAACCGACAAGACACAAATACTCTTTCATTTTTGTGTAATTCTTATTATTTCTCAAGAGAAGGACAGAAGAGGTGCAGAATATTTCCTATGTCTTGGCTTAGGTTCTCCCTGAACATTCACTGTTGCTAACAGGACAACAAATGGCAAAGGACATTATACAACCTTCTAAAAATCTACATATAACATGGGAAACGGCTGGAGGGGTCTGAGCAGCAGAGTGGCACGATTCTAGTTAATTCTTAGTAGAGAGAAACAGCTGGAAGGGCAGTTAGAAAATTACTGAAATTACCCATGTGAGAAGTAATGATTGCTTGGGTGAGAGGGGTGCCACGGAGGTGCAAAGAAGATAACAGGATAATCGATGTATTTCAAGGGGAGAGCTAATAAGAATTGCAAATGGAATAAATACACTACAAGGTGATTTATAGAGGAAACTGGGATAATACCATTATTTCTATTCCTCCCTGACCATCTGGGAGAATGGAAGTCACTAATACTAATACATGGACAAGTGGAGAATCAGATTTATGCATGCACATAAATGGCTAGGAATCAAATTCCAAGTTCTGTTTTGATTCTTTTCATTTGGAGATAATTTTTTAAAAAATGTTGTATTAGTACATGTTTGAAGTGCATAGTAATTATATTTGTTGTGGGGAGTTGGTGATATGCATACCTTGATTCTTGTCCTCCTCTTCTTGCTATCTCCCTCCATCTCTAGACCTCCTTCACTTTTGCAAAAGATTTGTGGATAGGATTTTTAATTGTTTAGGTGGGTATGTAAGTAGCAAGGCAGAGGGGCACAACTCTGAAGTAGTGACAGTAGGACTAACCACAGAAATTTTGTGTAGGCCACACAACAGAAATTCTTTGCACAAGAAAGACAGTTTAGCTGTCAAAACCCATCTTCAATGTTTATAGGAAAGAGAAGAGAAGACTAGAAAGCCAGCTGATTTCCTTAAGATCACTTAGCTAGGTAAAAGTGTCAGAGCTAAGATTTTTGCAAAAATCTATGCTGAGAGGAGAGATATGATCTCTGAAATCCATAAATCATTAAACTAAAAAACATTTAATAAGAGAAAGAAATATTATTGTAAACTACTACTAAATTTATAAAAGCTTGAAAACAAATCTTAAGATATGTTTTACTAGAACTAGATTTTTCTGGGCATTAAAGCATAACGATATATATTAAGAGTTATCTATGTGGAAATTTCAAGCCAAAATTCATACAGCGTGACTCAGTAAAAGATCATGATGCCTCTGAACATCCCAGTGAAATACATCAGAAAGGGCTCTTCACTAGCAGGTAAGTCTTGCCTGTAGTCAGCTGACTCAGATAATGGAGCTGGGGAGATAGCTCACTGGCATAAGCACCTCCCTGGCAAGCCCAAGGTTCTGAGTTTGATCCCCGGTACCAAAAAAAATCAACAACAACAAAAACAATGGAATGGCAAATATGTTACATCTCTTTTGACAACTTAAAATGATTTTTCAAATGGTTCAGGGGCCTTGGAAAAAATGCATTGGAAAGGACTCTGCTCATTCATGTTTGGTGCCCAAGAGGAGGATTGGGATTGGTCCTGTGTATGAGATATTGTAGCAATGAAGAAAATCTATAGAATTTAATAAATAATACTATAGTTATATTTTTCTTATTTACTTTAATTTAAAAACTAGAAGAACATATGCAAACAAAGCTCTTGCAGAGATATAAAATCAGTGTCCAAATCATTGAAACTTTAGATATAGCATCTTAAAAGTTTAAGTAATTCTGCCTTCTTCCAGTTAGTAATAAGGTTAGAATTATATTTTGGTTCTTTCTGTTGCCATTTTAAACCCTTAATGAAGTAGAATTTAAAAGAAAGCTTAAATCGTTTTTTTTTTTTTTTTTTTTTTTTTTTTTTTTTTTTTTTTTTTTTTTTTTTTTTTTTTTTTTTTTTTTTTTTTTTTTTCTTTCAGGACCCAGGGATTGAACTCAGGACCCAGGGATTGAACTCAGGACTCTGTGCTTGCCAGGCAAGCGCTTATGCTACTGAGCTATCTCCCCAGCCCTAAGAAAGCTTAAATCTTGAGCAAAAGTCTCTAGACAATGAATTTTCATGGCTGGCCAAATAGCTCAGTGGATTAAAGTGCCTGCAAGCAGGCCCAGGGGTCAGAGGGTTGGACCCCTGGGCCTGCTGTGCCGGCCCTGCTCCCAGGGTACATTGAGAGAGCAATTGAGACAGGGCCTGGTGGCACATGCCTGAAATCCCAGCTCTTGGGAGGCTGTAAACAGGCAGATCACTATGAGTCTGATCTAGTAGTGACACCCTGAACACCCTGTAGACCCTTCCCCAAAATACAAAACAAACGAACAAACAAAAAAACAATGAATTTTCAAGATCTCCTCTTCTGTCTTCATACAAAAAAGAAAAAGCCTGAGAGATGCTCGTAAGTTCTTAAAGAACATAATGAATACAATGCACATTGTTAATAGAATTGCTTAAATAGGTGTCTGGGGTCCATTTGATCCCCAAAGGCCTGATCCAGGAATTTTTTTTTCTGATCTTTTAAAAAATTACCAGAAAGAAAAGGGCATAGAGAGGCAAAGGGGAATTTTACTCTGGCTGCTCATGGCAGCAGTGGGGAGCTAATTTTACATTGTTTTTAGTGTCACATTAATAAAACATTTTAATCAACTAAAATACATAGAGACTTAACTCCTGTTTACTCACCCCCTAGACCAGTGGTAGAGAACCTATCACACATTTTTTTGAAGACAAATGATACTGACATATGTATTTTTTCTAAACTAAAACCTCAGTATTCAGGCTTAATGCAGTGTTGGTACTTTGTGATAAGTAAGTAGGTTTTGGGTTGTACTTTGGACACTCAACTCTAAAAGAGCCACCATCCCTGTCCTAGACTATTAACAGATTTTAGGACTGTGATTGAAAGTCATTATTTATCCCCTATCCCATCACACTTGCTTCTCTCTCTCACTGTAATTGGAAACCACAGCAGTAAATTACATCATATTCTTAATCTTTTTTTCCCCAAAGGAACATATAACCAGAGGAAAGAAGAGGAAAAAATGTATTACTTGGAAATAAAAAAACAACAAAGCTCTAGGGATTACTTTTTAGCCATTGAATTCAGTCCTGCAGGAGTAGCTGGTTGTTCAGGATCCTGGTTGACAAGGCAAGTTGGGAAGGAGCAGCCATCACCTAGACTAGAATTAAAATAAAAACAGTTGAACTGTGAAAAAGACAACAGAGTGAAAGTCTAACAGTAAAAGAAGGGAAAACATACAAATCAGATGCTGGCTTCAATACATCATTACAGTGACAATGAGTTAACTGACTACCATGTGGATATGACAGGAAATCAAAGATATACTTTAAAAATAGAAGTTACAATGCAGAATGGTAGACCTATGAAAGAAGGGACTTTTCCTGAAATAGTCTTTTAACAGCAAAATACCTTGAAAAAATGGGTAGCAACCAATACTTCTTCTCATCACCAAAAACTTGCCGCATGTTTTTACTGAAACCCAAACTGAATCCATTCTTATCAGTTCCATGCCGAAATACTGGACTTCTGAATGCCTCTAAGAAGAAACGATAAAGCAATCACATGAATAAAATACATGTCTCCTAATGATTACTAATGCTTAAAAATATGTGGTGTGATAGAAAAAAGGGAATGTTAACCATTTTTATTATAGTAAAAGGCACATTATCATTAATCTCCTGCAAAATACTCCTCCTAACTACAAACACATGAATTCTATCATGCTTGCCACTCTCTGAAACACTTCTGGAAGTTCTCTTTTGTGAGTGTCTTTATGTGCACTGTTATGACTTCCTCAGTGCCCTGCATAGATCCAAAGCATTCATCATTTGTTGTTTTTTACTTTGAAGAAAAGCTGTAAGTTGCATGGTGCAGATCCAAGAGTCAAATGGGCCAGAATACACCATGTGTTTACAAACCTCCCTTTCCAGTGGAAAATCCACTGGAACGCTACTTGGCAGCAGTATTCACTGTATTTTTCCATCAGACCTTGTGAAGACAACACTCTCAAAATGGATTTCCAGAACTGTTTCAGCAATAGCAAGAATTATGGGATAAATGTTTGCAATGAGGACTATTTTTATTTATTTATTTATATTAAGAAATAAATATGAATGAGACAGTTTCACAGCTGATTAATAGGGCAGTTTTGATAATCAATACACTGTACATTGTTATCTTCTTAGTGGTTATCCATAGTACAAGAAGAAGACAGGATATTCTGTCCAAACACTGTTAGTACACCTCTTTCTTCTCATTGAATTAAGTGAAAGTAGCTGTAAATTTATTCTGTTTTGTATATATAAATAAAAAATGATCTTTCCTTCGTATCCTTTTTTTTGTCCTGTCAGAGATGAATATTCTATTGGCATCTAAATACTATAGGTGTTTGAATTCAACTAAACAATCTAACACTGTCTAGCAGTCTATATTAGTGGGTTATCCTCAGAAGTTATTGACTTGAGCCTTTTACAGCTCATCGTATTAATATGGATTTACTTTACATACCTTGTTTTTATACTTTTCTACTGGATGGTTAAGACCAAGATATAGCAAGACCTATATAACAAGAAATGTAACTTTTGTATCTGATAAGGTCAGCCAAGTACTCTCAAGATTTATCCTGTAGCCCTGTACTGCCCTTTGTACATCCTTTTGTCAGTGTCTGACCTGAGGATGAGTCACGGCCATTGCTTGACCAATTTGCTCTCTGTGAAAGCTTGAGAGAGTGTTTTTTCTCCATGTGACTCTCCCCAGGCTCACTTTATGTCATCGAACACATTCCTCTGTGGCTCCATAATCTTCTTGAACAGAAAATTTGGAGCACAACTGAGTTACATGTTGTTACAGTACAGGTTCTCCTATGTCCCGAGTCTTCACTGACCTTGAAAGGCTAGGGCCAAAATGTTGGCTGATCTTGCAGCCCTTCCTTTTCTCTAATTTTGAACTGCTACCTTAGGTTGTTAACCCTCCAGAAGAGAAGCTAATTATTAACCTGCAATATATGCAGTTCGGTTTACCCTATCTGTTTAAATATCAAACATTTTGGCATATCATGGAACAGGTATTCTCCATCAGATAGTGATATATTTAACTTTAAGTCCTTAAAGAATATGAAGGAAAATAATGATATAAAAGTAGAAATAAGCATTTACATATTTTTACAAAGAAATTTAGAAATCTAACCATATACGGAATTGTAAGTCCTTCTACTAGGGAGACAATACGATATTCACAGATGTGGGTCTGGTTTATTTCACTAGTAAGTATATCTTCAAGTGGCATCCACTTGAATATGAAGGCTTCAAGTTTATCATTCTTTATAGCTGAGTAGTACTCCATTATATAAAGGTACCACATCTTTTTCAACCATTCCACATGTGACGGGCATCTTGGTTGTTTCCAAGATCTGGCTTTCACAAATTGTGTTTTTATAAACATAGGTACACATATATCACTATGATATGACGCTTTCAGTTCCTCCGGGAAAATTCTCAGTAGGGGGATAGCAGGCTTGAATGGGATTTCCAGTCCCAGTTTTCTCAGGAGTCTCCACACTGATTTCCATAATGGTTGCACCAGTCTACACTCCCACCAATAGTGGAAAAGGGTTCCCCTTTCCCCACAGCCTCTCCAACATTTGTTGTTGGTTGATTTCTTTATGATAGCCAATCCTTCTGGGGTGAGATGGTATCTCAGTGTTGTTTCAATTTGCATTTCATGGATGGCTAGTGACATGGAACATTTTTTCATATATTTATTCGCTTCTTTAATTTCGTCCTCTGAGAAGTGTGTGTTCATCTCAGATGCTCATTTCTGGATTGGGTCTTTAAATTTAGGGGCCCTAATGATCTTTAGTTCTTTATAAATTCTAGAGAGTAGACCTTTGTCTGAGCACTTATTAGTTAAGATTTTTTCGAAGTTTGTGGGTTGTCTTTTTACTTTGTTGATAATTTCTTTTGACGTGAAAAAACTTCTCAATAAGAGGTGGTCCCAGTTGTTAATTCTTTCAAGTGTTTCCCGTGCGATTTTATTTCTGTTCATGAACTCCTTTCCTACCCCTATGTCTTCAAGAGATCCTCCTACTTTCTCTTCTAGAAGATTTAGTGTTTCTGTTTTAATGTTCAGTTCTTTAATCCATTTTGACTTTAGTTCAGTGCATGGTGATAGACCTGGGTCAAGTTTTAGTCTTCGGCATGTAGAGAGCAAATTTTCCAGCACCATTTGTTAAAGAGACTATCTTTCCTCCAGTAAGTGTGTTTGGCCCCTTTGTCAAAGATCAGGTGGCTGAGTGTGTTCCTAGAGGCCTCTGCATCTACTAGTCTATTCCACTGATTCTGAAGGCAAAAGGACTTTTTCTTCTCTGAGTGCCTTCGGGGCAGGTTTGGCTGGCTTGAGTTGTGGGGATTGAACCACAGCAACCTGAGCCTGACTGCTTTGTGGAAGCAGCCATTTAAAGAACTGAGCTTCATTCACAGGTATCAGTATATATAGTTAGTCAGGGTGAGAATCTTTCCAATTAAGTGCTAGATTCAAAAATCTTCTGGAGATTCTCAGGATCATTGCCTTGCTCATCTTCTACATATAACGGAAGAAGGTAATCTGTAATAGCAGTTTCATGCTTGGAGTGCCTGTCATTCTGGTCTTCTGAATATGGGCTGCTTGTCATGACATGCCAGTTGCTGCTGTGCTGTCTCTCGGGTAGATGATTGTTCAAAAAGAAGGGGGTGGTGAATGAAGGCAAGAGATAGGAAAAGGAATATTGTGGGACTGTCCTGCTTTAAGGTTGTATATGGTTAGATTTTTGGACTTATGTGTAAACATAAGAAGTATATAATTCTTTATGCCTATTTTCCAAAAATATATTTTAATTTTTAAATGTTTTTCATCATATTCTATAGGGACTTAAAGTTCAACATATCAATACTTGATGAAAAATCAAGTTCCATGTTATGCCTAATATGTTTGATATTCAGACAGATAGTGAGGTTAAGCTTAACAGCCTAGGTTGTATGGTAATAACAATAAGCTTGTCTTCTGGATGGTTAACAACCTAAGTTTGCAGACCAAAATTAGAGAAAAAGGAGGGCCACAAGGAAAGTCAACATTTTGGCTCTAGCCTTCCAAGGTAAATTAAGACTCAGGACATATGAGAACTTGTACTGTAACGTCATGTAACTTGGTAGTGTCCCAAATTTTCTGATCAAGGAGATTATAGGGCCAAAGAGGAAAGTGATAGATGATGTAGAGTGTGCCTAAGGAGAGTCACATGGAGAGAAAATATTCTCTCAGGCTTTCACAGAGAGCAAATTGGCCAAGCAATGTCCATGACTCATCCACATGGCTGACACTGACAAAGGTTCTACAATCTGAGATACAGGATCTCAGGATAAATCCTGAGGGGATTTCACTGACCTTATCAGACCCAAAAGCTACAACTCTTGTTGCATAGGTCCTGCTTTACCTTGGTCTTAACCATCCAGCAGAAAAGTATAAAATCAAAGTATAAGAAGTAAAGCCATGGTGTTATGTTGAGCTGTAGGGGACTCAGATAAACAATTTCTGACATTGCCAGTGAAGCAGAAGACCCAATACTATTACGGACTACTGGACTCTTTTAGAATATTTTGCTGAGTTTACACAACTATAATATTTAAATGATGGAACTTAACAAGAAAAGGGGATACAGATGAATGTTCATTTTGTATCTGTGTATTCAAAATGGTTAGGATAGATATATAGTTACATTCTCTTAATGAATAGAGGGATTTGTTCTACTGGTGTTTGTAAATAGGATATCAAGTCTGCATCTTGTACAGCAATTAACCACTAGAAAGAATGTATGCAATGTGTTAGTTATTGGAACTGTCCTACCAATTTGGTTTGAAACTGTTTCATTGCTATTTGTTTCTCAATAAAATTATGGAAAAAAAAAGCTTATCTTCCTGGTTCCAAAAAAAAAAAAAAGAACTGAGCTAAGGGGCAGGCCCCCAATGAGGACTATTTTGAAGAGGATTCATGGTAATATATTTTTTAATGTAATAGTTTTCTAAAATTTAAACACAGGGCTGGGGAGATAGCTCAGCAGAATAAGCACTTGCTTGCTAAGTGCAAGGTCTTGAGTTCAACGGCCAGTACCACAAAATACATAAATAAATAAACAAATAAATAAAATAAACAGACACTATATGTTCAGATCAGCTCTTGATAGTTTCATTTGTTTTGGATGTCTTTTATTTCTTTTTTTTTTTTTTTTTTTTTTTTTTTTTTGACCAATTAGACTTGCTATAACTTGTACTACAATCCTGAATACTAGTAAAGGAGAGCATCCTTGTGTTCCTGATGTTAGGGTTAAGTTTTCAGTTTTTTAGGGCTGACCAAATAGTGTAATGGATTAAAGTCCCTGCAAGTAGGTGCAGGGTCCGGGGCTTTGATCCTTGGGCCTGCTGTGCTAGCCCTGCCCCCACAGGGCACGCTGAGATGGCAACTGAGACTGGGCATGGTGGCGTGTGCCTATAATCCCAGCTCTTGGGAGGCTGTAAACAGGCAGATCACTATGAGTCTGATCTATTCTTTCTTTCTTTCTTTCTTTTTTTTTTTTTGTGGAACCGGGGATTGAACTCAGGCCCTTGGGCTTGCCAGGGAAGCGCTTATTCCACTGAGTCATCTCCTCGGCCCACAAGTCTGATGTAGTAGTGAGACCCTGAACACCCTGTAGACCCTTCCCTAAAACACAAAAAAAAGAAAAAAAAGTTTTCAATTTTTTGATACTGAGCATGATGTTAGCTGCAGCTTTTTTTTTTTTTTCTTCTAAATGCCATTCATCAAGATGAGCAGGTTCTCTTCTACTCTTTGCTATGGCTATGTGTTTTAAGTATGGAAGAATGTTTGCTTTTTAAATATTTGTTTCTGTAGCAACTGAGATTATCATGTGTTTTTTCCTTCATTCTATTAATTTATTAAACTATCGCTTATTGATTTTTAGGCATCAAACCACCTTGTAGTACTAGGATAAACCCCATTTTATCATGAGGTATAAAATTCACTTGATATTCTGATGGATTTTGTGTGCTAGAGTTTTTGTGAAGGACTGCTGCATCTGTATTCATAAGGGATATTGGTCCACTGATTTTCTTGTAAGGTCTTTGGCTTTTATGGCAAGACAGTACTGTCTCAGAATACAGATATCGCTCGGCAGGCACAAATGCCTGCCTGGAAAGCATGCATAAGGTTCTGAGTTCAATTCCTGGAACAAAAAAGTACTGTCTCATAAAATGAATTAGGGAGAACTGCATTCTTTTCTAATTTTTGGCAAAGTTTGAGAAGAGTTGGGGTTAATGATTTAAATACTTGGTAGAATTCAACAGTGAAACTATTATGTCCTCAGCTTTTCTTTGTTTGAGGTTTTTGGTTACTAATTCAGTTCCTTTACTTGCTAAAAATCTGTTGTCATTTTCTATTTTTTCATTAGCCAGTTTGGTGGTTTGTTTCTAGCAATTTGTCCATTTCATTTAGTCTACCTAATTTTTGAATTAAGTGGTACCTCAGTTCATGAATGGTTTTGTTTGCAGTTTGGTTCGCAAACAAAAGCATTTAGAAAATTTTGGGTTTTTTTTTTTTTTGCAAACTCTATATTGAGTAACAAACACAACCATGGCAATCTTTCTCACATAACTACAAATGTGGCCATCTTTCCAAAGTTGCAGGATAAATTAAGTTCATGAACCATGGTACCAAGGACAAAAATTCATAATATTCTCTTGAAATCCTTTTTACTTCTATGAAGTCAGTAGTAATGTCCCCATTTTCATTTCTAACTTTTGTGATGAAACTACATATTTTTTTCTAGCTATGCTTTGTCAAATTTTCTGATATCTTCTGAGCTTTCTTTTCTTTCCCTTTTTTTTTCTTTCTTTTCTTTCATCATTTTGACCCAGGGTCTCCCTATGAAATTTACACTGGCCTTGAGCTAACTTTGTAGCCCAGGCTGGTCTTGAACTTGTGATGATACTTGTAGCCCAGGTACCACTTGTGCCTCAGCCTCCCAAGTGCTGGGATTACAGGCATGCACCACGACGCCTGGAAATTTTCTGATATCTTAAAAGAAACAACCATTCATTTCATTGATTTTCTATAACGTTTTACTCTTTTTTTTTTTTTTTTTTCAGAACCAGGGATTGAACTCAGACCCTTACGCTTGCCAGGGAAGCACTTATTCCACTAATCCATCTCTCCGGCCCCTCTTTATTTCTATTATCTCTATCATTTCCTTCTTTGGCTAGCTTTGATTTTATTTTGGCTTTATTTTTCTGGTTCTATATGTTGTGAGTTATTGATTGAGATATTTCTTCTTTTTTTAATATGGGCATTTACAGCTACACAATTCCTCGTAGAACTGTTATTGTTGCCTCCCATCAATGTAAGACTCTTGGAGATATGTTTTTCTCTAGCTAAAAGGTTCTGGCTTTTTCCATGGGGCTTTTTCCATTCAGACTCCTCAGGCTGAATTCTTTTGGGTGAGGTGAGCACCTGTCTAGCAACACATTCTAAACCGTACCTTTTATCATACACAACCTTTTATTCACACTTCAGCATTCTCTGTTTCACTCAAAGTACTCAGAATTTCATACTGTCATGAAATTTAAATGAATTTTTGTGCCCCTCAAAACACGGTTTTGCCCCTGTTTCCCACTGTATGTATGTAATGCTTTACACATGATGACCAATAATTATATGGAATGTAGGAATTTACATCTAAGTGACACTCTACAATAAAGTGCAGGTAATCACAATGATTTTTACCACTTCAAGGTAGAACAATATTTAATGCACAGCAACTGTCACTGAGCACGTGTGTATACACTTGAGGTTGCGTCAACTACAACGATTGGATACTCACCTAATGTAGATTTATTTTTGCTGACTAGCCAACAATGATAGCCAAACAGAGAAGACAAGCTGACAGAAAACATAGCTGCAGCAAAGAATAGAAACATAATATGGAACTTGGCTTGAGTATCAGGTAGGCCATTCTATAAAGAAAGGAAGAAAATAAAATACTTTGTCAAAGGGATAAGTATTCCCTACTTTATAAGTAAGTTAGTAAGATTTTTTTTTTTGGGCTAAAATGTTGTCTTAAATATTTATATGGAAACAAGACACACAGTTTCATGTCAAAGCAGTATATATATATATATATATATATAATTTTTTAAATGTGTACTGGGATATGAAAATATAACTGAAAAAGATTAAAATTTGGGATATTGTATTTTATATAAGTAAATTATAGAAAAATTATATTTGCTTAGTATAAAATGTAACAGTAGGGCTGGCCAGATAGCTCAGTGGATTAAAGTGCCTGCTTAGGTAGATGCAGGGACTGGGGTTCGATCCCTGCATGCCGTGCTTGCTCCATTCCCAGGGCGTGCTGAGAGGATGATTGAGACTGGGTGTGGTGGTGTATGCCTGTAATCACAGTGCGTGGGAGGCTGTAAATAGGAGGATCACTACCAGTCCAATCTGTGTAGTGAGATCCTGTAGACCCTGTACTAAGAACATTACAAAAACAAACAAACAAACCCTCCCCACACAAACAGTAGGATACAAAGTAAAAGAAGCTATAAAATATAGCTTTAAATTTTCTATTTGAACATGTTTTGTTAATATACTTAAGGTTCACTAATGTTTAGCTTTATTATAATTCCAAAAAATGAATTGGCCTAATTTAATTGCCAGTCTCATTGATGGTTTATATTACTGCAAACAACAGCATTAATGAAAAGAATACATACAGAAACACATCCAAAATAATACTCTGAATGGTTCCAAGGAAATGACTGACATTACTATAGTAAGACTTGTTTAAAGTAAACATTACAATATCCATGGGCCAAAACAGGCCACTTCGAAGCAAGTATGACCCTTACTGTTTGTCCAGGGAGACCTCAACTGCAGGACTTGGGTCTATGGACACTTAGTGAAGCACCAGGCCTGCCAGAGAGAGGCCTCACCTGAGGGAAAGTCGTGGTGTTTCAGTTTCCTGTAGTCCCTGACAGACTAACAGGACACAAGATCTCACTGTAGCTTTGGCAGCAGTTGTGCACAGTGGAAACTCTGGTCATTCGTTTCCAAATATATTTATATTTTAGAATGAAAACCACCCACAGGAATGAGGAGCAGTAAAATAATATTCTCCACACAGTCACTAGGGATCACCCTTCAAGCTGGAAACTGGCAGCATCTCTGAAGCTGTGGCACACAGCCATTCACTCACGTAATCCTTGTGGTTAGCAATGTAGCTGGCATCGACTAAACATTTGATAACTCTTCGGTATAAGACTTGACACAAACCATACACAAGTAATGTAGCAATTTGGTCTTATCATAAAGGATAATTTAATGAAAAACAAGAAATCAATCTTGGCAAAAGACAAATAGCTTTTTAACCATGATTTGGTGTTTGCAAGGACTATCACAGGTTATTAAAAATACTCTATTTTAATATTCTTTTGCTCTTACCTAAAAATATACTGCATAAAACATTTGAGTATCTAAAGCCTAAACAAGCAATATCTAATAAAAATTCAGGACATTACAGACATAACAGGTCTTGAAGTAACCTTACACATGGAAACACTTTTTGTTAAATATTGGAAAACTGTGTGTATAGTCAGTTCTCATTATCTGCAGTGGTTATGCTCCATAAGTTTGCTGTGAACACTGAATTTGTGAATACTGAATCATTATTTCCAGGGAAAATACAGGGTTAGGCCCTGCAGTGTCTCGTCACATCCTGGTCAAGCCGTCGATTCACACTCCTGCTTTAATACGGCTTTCTGCTTCAGGGTGCATATTTAATGCACGGTGTTGATTCATTAGCACGGAACTCACGGCCAAGCACCATAACTCACGTCTGAATGAAGCTTATTCACCACATGTATTTCCTCCGTCAGACACAGCAGTCTTGTTTAGAAGCACTAGAGCATGATGTCTGAAGACAATTTTCAGCCACAAAATGAACAGAAAGCACAAAAATAAAAAACAAGGCACCAAACAGACTGAGGAGCACACTTGTTTACAGAATGGGAGCTACAACAAGAAGATGGGGCACTCCCTTGTTTTACCTCAATCTGAACATATACCTAGAGCACTTGGGTATTTTCCTATCAGCACCTGTGTGCAAGCCATCATTGGCTCTGTGATTATATCTCTGTGTATTGATTTAGAGGCTACTGATAAGTTCTGAAGATAGTGAATAAACAAATACAAAACCTGCAACTAATGAGGAATGACTACATAAATTAGCTCGGTTCTATAAAGTCCGTGTCTGAAATAATCCACTAATGAAAATCTATATTATATATTTTTGTATACTTAACAAAAGGCACTAAAGTAATGACTTACTGTCCAGAATTTGATAAAATACTGTAAATCTGTAGCAGCAATAAAAAGGCAGTACAGCAGAGAATAAGCCAAGAAAAGGAGGAAGAATTTATAATTTGAAAATCCAACACAATTGTTCACCCTGCCAAAAAAAAAACAAAAAAACAACAAATATAGTCTTAATAAGTGATACATCCTTCACCTAGGTATCAATATGCTCCAACTTAACATAGTGTTTGGTTTTCTCTCATTTTAAATATACTGACATTTTAAAAAGCATAAGTCATAAAAAGTTACACATGCAAATAAAAAATAAATTTCTCTGAGAAGTAATTTCCATGTCTAGATTTTGAATATATACTTAATATTGTGTTAATCAACCCTAACTAGTATAACTACATTTCATGTCCAATTATAATAGTAAGCAGATGCCTAAAAGTACAGACCAAATGCACTAATCCCTTCCTCAATGTTATCTTTGGGTTCAGTTTCCAACTATCATTGAGTTAAAATACATTTTCTCCAAAGTCAGTGAACCACACTCACATACTTCTTTTATGTCATTACTGCAAAAATGGCAAAAACTGTCAAAGCATATTATGTAGGAGGCTTAAGAAAAGAAATAGGACTGGAAGCCAGCCAGATAAGAGTTATAATGCGCATCTGACACTAGATAATTATGAGGTCATAGACAAGGATAATCATGTGGCCCCAAGGAAGTGAAACAGTCTCTTAGGATTTCATTTTCCTTACCTGTAAAATAGGGATGTTAAGATGGTTTCTCAAATCCAGCTCTATATAAATGCTAATTCTAGATCATCGTATGGTGGACAAAGGATGGTCTAATTTCAATTATCATATCAATTCATAAAAACATAAAAACAACTCATTTCATGGTCATGCTCAATTTTTTTTCCCTTTCACAAAGATAAGGGCATTGCTTGCTGACCTTGCACACATGTGATGCAGTAGCACTGTGGAATTGGCTGATACGGTCACCAACTGAATTAGCTCATTGTTAATTGGTGTAATGAAGCTACTGCATAGAGTAAGCACATACTGTTTCCTCTCCTCAAATTTCCTATCCCAGCTCTAGTGTTGGTAAAACAATCTCTCTGGACTTTGGTAATAAAAAGAAACATTTTTTTCCCTAGGTTTTAAAAATAAAACCAAGTTTGAATGAAAAAAGTTTATATTTTCTGCCTTATATTTAGTAATTTTGGACTTGAAGGTCTTGTTTATTGGAAAAGAATTCATAAAAATGCCAAAAATCGTGGGTGTACATTGTATGAAAACAGCTGTATTAGCAGCTCTTGAAGTTCCAGGGAGAACACAAAACACTTGCTGAGATTGCTTTTTGTAATACTGGAATGAAATAATGGCAAGAAATATTGGAAATAGTATGAGGCTAGTCTAATTGTAATTTGTCTCAAAAGGACACAAGACACTGTTTTCATTTATTTGTGTAGTTGCAAGAAGAAAGAATGGGCAGATGAAGGTGCTGCAAAAGTGGAAAATTAGGTGTAAACAGAGACTGTTCTGAACCAGGGAAAATTGAAATGGATAGTGCAGAGCACTTCTGTTCCTATAAAATGTAAGAAGCAGATTTTGTTCTAAATGATGATGGGGTAGTTTGCCTTGTCAGGATAGGAAACAGGAGAAAGTCAATAAATAAAGATCAAACACTTTAATTTGACATGTTTATAGAAAGTGTTGATATATATCTTACTAGAGGAAAGAGACTAGTATTACTCATTTTGAGCAATACCTTACACTCTTCATAACTGGCAGCTTTTGGTTAGACTTTTAATGGCCTATTACTTTGTCAATTTGACAAAAGAGAAAATTCATCCTGATCTTATCTCCTACATCTGGCAAAAAATGAGTTCATATCAAGAAACAAGCCACATTCAATGTAAAATTCTTTCTCATGTTGTTCTCCAGGTAAAGCACAACTGTTGGCTCTATTTCAGCCCAAATGTATTCTGTTTCTTTTCTTTTCTTTTCTTTTTTTTTGTATTTTAGGGGTGGGTCTACAGGGTGTTCAGGGTCTCACTACTTGGTGGGACTCACAGTGATCCGCCTGTTTACAGCCTCCCAAGAGCTGAGATTACAGGTGCACATCATCACACCCAGTCTCAATTGCCATCTCACGGCGTCTCGGGGTTGGGGTCGGCACGGCAGGCCTGGGGATCAAACCCCCACTTTTAGTGTCTAAACTACAAGAACAGCATAATATATTGGGGAAATAACGCCCTTTCAAGGCCAAAAACTGGCTATGTGATTTTTGAAGCCACTCTTAAGCTTTTCTGAGACAAATCATTTCTCTTTCTTCTATTGTTTTTATTCTTTAACTTTTTAAGAGTACAAAATAGTATTTTTTTTTTAAATTTTATTTATTTGTGTGGGGGGGCAGCTCAGCCCACCAGGGGGCGGGGCTGGCTGGCATGTGGTGCTGGGGGATTGAACCATGGTCCCTGTGCTTTTAGTTTGTTCTAAGTAGGTGCTTTAGACCACTGAGCCATCTCACCAGCCCCCAAAATAGTATTAAAACAGAAAAATTAAAAATAAAAATTTCACTAAACAAAACAATATGAATTTCACAGTATTTGTTGTGTTGCATAGTGTTGTCTTCAAATGAGTTGTTCATATTACCAGATAGATGCATGCAAAATTGGAAGAAAGGAAAAAAAAGAAAAGAAAAAAATATATAAGAAATTAAGAAGAGGGCTGGCCTGATAGCTCAGTGGACTAAAGCGCCTGCGTAGGCAGAGTACAAGGGCTGGGGTTCAATCCCTGACATGCTGTGCCAGTCCCGCCCCCAGGGCGCACTGAGCCTGTGATTGAGACTAGGCGTGGTGGTGGGCATTTGTAATCCCCGCACCTGGGAGGCTGTAAACAAGAGAATCACTATGAGTCCAGTCTATGTAGTGAGACCATGTAAACCCTGCTCTAAATATAGGGGGAAAAAAAGAAAAAGAGAAAGAAAGAAATTGCAAGAAAAAGGAAAAATAATTGAAAAGAGAAGACAAAACAAGTTAAAAATTAATTGCTCCTTCCCATAGACCAGCAGAAATCAACAGTACAGTTGTCCAAACCATCCTGCATACATATCACAGCTATCTCTTTCCCACACATCCTCTCTTGTCCTCCTCAATTAAATGATTCCTTCCTTTTGAACAAATTCATTCCCTTTTCCTAGTATCTACTATACCTTTTAGATTTTATTTTTCTCTTTCAGGTTCTCATACTAAGGAGATGATACGATGTTTGCATAGGAGGGTCTGATTCATTTCACTTAAAGATATGGTCTCTAGTTTCACCCATTTAACGATAAAAGCCTCAAATTTATCCTTCTTTATAGCTGAATAATATTCCATGTGTAAAATTCCACAACTTTTTATCCATTCCTCAACTGATGGGCATTTGGGTTGCTTATTCTTTTTATTTTTATAAAGATGATAGATATTTGCTCTCTAGACTACAGGAGGTGCTCAGTAAATTAAAGCTAAGATTATTTACTTTCATATGTGTTAACTTAATTTTGGCAAGCATGTATTATTGATATAATTAATTAAAAGTTAAAAGTTTATAGTAATGGCCTGGGGAGATGGCTCAGTAGAATAAACGCTTCCCTGGCAAGCACAAGGACCTGAGTTCAATCCCCAGTTCTGAAAAAAAAAAAAAAAAGTTTATAGTAAAAAAGAAACACTTCTACAATAGAAAGCCCAATGAAGCAAGTACTATGGAAACACTTTAAATTAACAAGTATAAGATCAGTCCCCCAAATAATGATGCATAACATTCACTGACCAAAGCTGATATGCTGAGATCACTGAAAAAACAGAAACATTTTTCAACCCAGTATTTCAAATGTTCAAAGTTGAGAGGGACTAAAATTCCTAACCATATATAAAATGGCTGCTTCATGGGAATGCCCTAATTTCCTTTAATAAAGTACATAATAGCTGTAAAAATACTTCTTATGTGTTAACATGGAAACAAATCACAATATACTAAATTAAAGAGGCGACTCATAAATCATATTCAATCTATAGTGTAACATTTGTGTTTAAAAGAGAAAGGACAGACAGACAGACACAGAGTTAGACCTGAAGAGGGCCTGTTTTAAGAGTAGCACTGGCTCTCTGTAAGTGAGGGAAGGGGAGTGTGGGCTAGAAAAACATGCTGATTTAGAATTTAGAGTCACAAGTATGTTATTGTGAATAAATCTGTGGGTGCCCTCTTGGGGGCAGGACCCTAGGCCTCATACGTGCTAAGCACATGATGCACCTCAGAACTATACCACCAACTCTAAACACTTTTTAACTTAAAATTTCAATTTGAATTTTTTTTAAAAAGTAGCTTGTCCATTCAGCTGGTTGTTACCAACTGAATATTAGGTCCCTGGCATAAAATCTTTCATAAATGAACATGGCTACTGTTTTTCTGCAGGAAGTGGCTAGAGTCGAGACAGTGACAGGTGGGGAAGGTGATTACAGCATGGGAAATGACTGCAATAAGCAATCCGTTCATTCAACTCCTCCCACGCTGCCACATAAAGGTGACTGGGAAACAGGACATAGCCGTGCCATATAGGTACCTCTATAAACTCTAGAGTTTTATTATACCTATCTCCCTTCACTTATTTAATAGAATCTGTCAAAATCTAAAAGATTGTCAAATTATTCTATAAGTTTCTTATTTAGCTGGTTTAGGGAGAATGCCTATAATGGTGAGTATAACAAATACATGAAATTTTATAGATACATATTGGTTTGGCATGAATACTGATAATTTGCACTTCTCCCTTCCTTAACTTTTATTAAATTGGTAAAAAAAAATGGAGTTGGCTGGGGAGATAGCTTGGTGGTCTAAGTGCCTGTCTGGCAAGTGCAAGGACCTGGGTTTGATCCCTGGTACCCCATGGCACATGGGGCCCGTGTCATGCTGGCCACTGAAACCAGGTGTGGTAGTGCATGTCTGTAATCCCAGTGCTAAGGAGGCTGAGACAAGAGGATCACTATGAGTCTGAACTGTGCAGCAAGACCCTGAACGAAATAAATAAGTTCCAAAAATTTCAATTATATGCCATCTATTATTTTACCATTGCTAAATATATCAAGTCCATGGAAACCCAGAATAGAAAATTCTTAATCTGAGTTCCTCAAGGTAGGTCCTTAGACCAAAACTCTGATGCAGTTTGAAACAAAGGGAGGAGCAGGGACATAGTTCATTGGGAGAGTATTTCTCTAACATGCATGAGACCCAGGCTGAAGTCACCAAAAATTTAAAAATAAAGCAAAAAATGGGAAAAACACCACTAAAGATGTGTTACTGGCTAGTCCCTCATGGGTTGAGGGGCCCCAGCAGTGTCGCTGCTTTCACATTTCTGGAATGCCCAGCTTCTGAGCTGAACCACCTACCCAGGTAGAAGAGAGCTGATAGGTGGAAAGGCAAAGAAACACAGGTATTTAGAAAAGAGGGCTGTTGTAAGACATGGGGTTGTTCATTATGGTGTATGAACTCATGAACTTACAGGTGGATCATGAGATCTTTGCAGGGGAATATAAAGAGGATTAAGAAACTTATAGTTGGTCAGCTGCCAGGGTTCAATCCCCTGCATGCTGTGCCAGGCCCACCCCTGGAGCATGCTGAGATGGTGATTGAGACTGGGTGTGGTGGCATGCGCCTGTAATTCCAGGCTTGGGAGGCTGAATACAGGCAGATCACTATGAGTCCAGTCTATAGTGAGACTCTGTAGACCCTATCCTAAATACATTAAAAAGAAAAAAAAAAGAAACTTATAGTTGGAGATAGTGATGGGAACACTTGCTGAGAGAAAGAAAAGGATGAAGAGCAAAAGAATGCAAATGTAAATTAGTATAAAGGAAGCTTATTTATGGAGATCTTTCTTTAAGAAGAATATTATTCTTATGGGAGTTGACGTCAACACTTCAAAGGAGGAAATTTGGATCAAGGAAAAGGAGAGGGATACAAGTGAGAAATTTAGAATAATGTAAATTCTACATTCTCCTACTGGTCCTGTTGAGACAGCCATACCCTATAAAAATTTCCAACTATGTCTAGTGTAGATATGCAGAGATTCATATCTTTCCTGTAGTGCTACCACTGAAAGAAAATGACATATCTAGAATAAGTACGACTAATGTTCAAGTCAGCCTGGCTGGCCCCCTCAGCATCACTGTGAGAACTGTGTACACTGAGATGAAAAATTATAGGGAAAAGAAGGAAAATCCACCTGTATCAATGAGATCACTCAGATAGTCCTCTATTAAGTTGCCTAATCAGATTTAGAAGTATTTGAAAACATTAATGAATTCTAAGTGGAAAGTCGTGCTTAAATATATTTGTGTTTTATGTATTTGCTATTATTTTCCTGAAAGTGTTGTCATTTTATTTAAAACAATTTGTCAAACCTTTTTAGTTGATTTAATTCTTTATTAGAAACATCTATTGAGTTATTGGTATGTATTAATGTATAGACATTTGTCTACATTTCTAGAAAATATTTCAGTATTTGTGTTTGTGTAGATGCATAAAAGTAAAACTCTTTGTTTTGAGCAAACATGCAAAATTAAGTTTTATATTATTAACTCTATATATTGGTTGGTTCTATTGAGTTAATTAAATAAAAATTAAACTAAAGCTAAAAGTACTTCCTGTATCAACTAAAGTCATTTGTAAATACAGAAGTGATTGAATTTACAAGAATTTAAAGAAGAACAGAAACCTGCAGCCAAACTCACCATGGGCAATGATGATCCATCTTCAAAATACATCTAAAAACAGAAGAAAACACAAAACTCAGTAACCTACAAAATTTAATTTCATTAAATTATAAGATGAAAATATGAAATATTGCAAAATTTCATACCTTACAATTGCATAATAGTAAAAGTCATTATCTAAAATAAATACTACAGCCATTTCTACTTACAGTGTAATAATGAACTTTATTACTCTCATTTGTTTTAAGACAGGGTCTCTCAGTGTTGTCCAGCCCTGACTGAGTCTCCTGAACAGCTGAGATTACGGGCATGCACTGACTGGATCATCATCCCTCACTTATAAAACCTTACATGCTTTAAAATGCAAATCAACAAGTTTTCTAAAAATCATGTAAAATATCAATACACAAATGCCTTATGTTGAAGAAAGTTCGAAATGTCAACAGATTTGCAGATAGTCTAGGTGAAAGCATCTCTTTAAATGTCAGTTCTTAAGCATCACACTATCCTGTTTGTGTAGTATATTAAATATAAAATAACTGCATGAAGCCAGATGAATTATCTTGATAAAAATGGAAAACATTCATGAAAGAAGAATTTGCTAAATTTAACTAGCCAAGTCAGCATTATCAAGAATCAGGTACTTTGTGTCGTGATCAGTCTGGGGGAAAAGGGACAATTGGTTGTGGCCCTAAGCTGCACAGCATTAAATGTGCTTATACCAATTATATTTTCTATTAATGTGGTGAGAAGCATGAACAAGGAGAAAGGGTGACAAGCTAGAAAACAAAAAAGATATACAAGGGCCAGCTTGATAGCTCAGCAGACTAAAGTGCCTGCTTAGACAGAGCACAGTGGCTGGGGTTCGAACCCCAGCCTGCTGTGCTGGTTCTGCCCGCGGGGTGCAATGAGATGGCAATTGAGACTGGGCTGGTGGCGCGGGCCTGTGATTCCAGCTCTTGGGAGGCTGAAAACAGGAGAATCACTATGAGTCTGGTCTATGTAGTAAGACCCTGTACACCCTGTCCTAAGTACAGAAAAGAAAAGAAATGAAATACAGATAAAAGTCCACTAGCACATAGACATGCTAGAAAAAAACTTCCCTTACTTATCACAGACGGAACAGTGATGGCAGCGATCTGGTTTTATAAGCTGGCATCTGTCACAATATCGGATTGCTAGGAATAAAAAGTTCTAGTTAGATTTAACATGGAATGAATATATAATTAAATGGCTTTTATCATTTCTCCAAATTTAAATTCTAAATATATACCAAAGCATAATAAAAGCATACTAAATTTTAATTTGGTTAAAAGTAAAGGTATTTAACTTTGTCTCAATGCAAACAAAACAGAGCAAAACAAAACAAAAAAAAACACAAAGACTTGCTTGGAGCCAGCATTCTCTGGAGAAGTCTCCCATGGATAGAGCACCTGACAGTAGAACTTCTTCAAAGGTATTCTCAATTATCTGTAGTTACAGTATAAGCTTGTGCAGATATTGTGCGGGTGTGGTTATTTCCTGTTACAGATATGTCCATTATTCTTTTCTCAGAGTCTTTCTCCAATCAGTTTATTTCCTCTGCATAATTGGGTCAGAATACAACCAACTAAGATAACTGGGTAAGAATGCAACAAAATATTGAAACAAAATTTATAAATTTATAAGTAAACTATTAATTGCTTAAATTGGAAAAAAAAAATCTCACACCTCTGTTAGGCAAGATACAAGATTATAAGTGGGACCTGAGGGAGATACTTTCATAGAGAATTTTGTTTGTTTAGTTTTGTCTTTTTGAGTTGGGGTCTCACTATGTTCAGGCTGGCCTTGAACTTGCTTTGTAACCCAGGCTGGTCTCAAATTCCTAGTGATCCTCTTGCCTCAGGCTCCTGACTGCTGGGATTACAGGCATGTGCCATCCCACACAGCTTTGAATGGAGCATTTCAATTCTTGCAACAGAAGCTCTTATCTTTTCTCCAATATTACAGATATCAAAGAATTAAGGTTGACTGATTGGAGATTTCATTTCAACACACTAGCATCTCACAGGATGCATCTGATTACTGAAGAATGAAAATAAACAGGATAAAATTGTATGTGAGACTTAGATTCAATTATGATTCTAACATAAATAGGCAACAAATGTAAATAATACATTAGTAAGGGATTTTACATTCTTTTTTTCATGCTAACTCTTTGAAACCAGTTGTGTATGGTTTCAGCTTGGGTCTTACCCATGTCTCAACTTAAGCTACAGTATCTTAAGTGCTCAACAGCCCATCAGGCTAGTGGGTGTCATAATGCGCAGCACAGGTCTAAAGGCACAATGTGCCCATTAAGTCATGGTGGACAAGCATCAGTACTTCACGTGCACTGAGTTTTAAGCCAATTATTTAATTGGATATTAAAATAAACAATTTTAATATCTTGAAAACATGACCCAAGAAAGAAATCAATTCAGTTGTTTTTGTAAAACATAGTTTAAATTTCAAAGGTGGATATACATAAATTATATAATTACTGTTATAAATTAATCAAAACACTTAAAATTAGTAACTGTATATTCATTATAGATGTTTTTCTTAAATACGAAGATGAAAGTCTGTAAATAAAGTTTTAAGAATGAGTCCTCATGTAAATCAAGGTTTCAGCAGCGCTTGCATCTTCACTGAGTCAGAACTGAGTAGGAGGAAGAGAATTAAAGGCAGCTCTGATTTAGTTGAGAACTCAGGGCCACAGCTTTCTACTCTGTTTAATAGGATTGTACAGGAAGGATTTAATAGCAATCCAAGAATAACATAGGGCTTTATGTGGTGCTAGAGATTGAATTCAGGACCTTTACATGCTAGACAAATGTTCCACCACTGAGCTAATGTCCCAGCTAACATAAGGTTTTAAATCGAGGGTTTGACAGTTTCATGTATATAAATGCAATAGGCACATCAACACATCCGTTGGCTACTGCTCCAAAGTGCTCACTGTTGGCACTTACCTCCAGACATGGTCCTGGTATAGATGGGAAGATCTTTGGCTGCTCGCCTAAGAACTTCCTGATGGGTTTCTCTTGGCTCTCTCTCTAACAATTCTTTCTCTGCATAAGAGAGATGGAACTGTGGAATACATTTAAATTTTAATCAGTATTTCTAAAGGAATGATAACATGTTGGTCTACTCCACTGTGCCTGAGGTATTTTTATAAGTATTAATGGTATATGGTATATTCAGAGAAGTAACAGTTCAAATCTAGACAGATTTATTAAGTTCACAGACCACTATGCATCTGGAAAAAGAGAATAATAATGTTTTTAATCAAGTTCCTTAGGTATTCATGAAATTCAAAAGGATCAGAGTATCAAAAGTGCTTGTATATGGCGTTATATCCAAATATTAATTATATAATCAACAAAAGGCCCACAAAACACATATGGCTCAATGGATGAATTTTTCATGTGAATGCTATTAAGAACAAAAAGAAAAACAAATCAATCAAACACATTTTCTCATCTAAGTAAGTTTTAACGTGGGGATAATTGTTACATAAAATCTCCACTACTCAAAAGAACTAATTGTTCATTTTACTTCTTATACTGCCAATTTGGCTCAACTAGTTAAAAATATATGAGAAAAATGAAAATTTGCTTGTACTCCTACTTGATAATCACACACACACACACACACACACACACACACACACACACACACGAGTTTGTAAAGTCTGTCCTGTATGAACTTCCATAGACACATTCCAGGAGGCATACACAAAGGTAATCATAGCATCACTATTTGGAATGGAAGAACCAAATACAAGCCAATGACCATCAAAAGAATAACGGCTAAAGCAACTGCAATAAAATGTACCCACATCAGTACTGGCATTTACAGTTAGTGAGCTATGGCTGTGTAAAACAAAGAATCAAACCTCAACACATTACTGAAAATAATAGCAAATCAACTTACAGACATACATAAAATTACTTTATTCGTATAAAATTTTAAAATGAGAAAGTTAATGTATGCATTTTTATTTAGAAATAGATGTATAAATGACCCAACTATAAAGCAAAAGGAAATAATTAGCATAAAATGCAGAATTATCATTACTTCTGGAAGAATACAGGGAAATACAACTGGGGAGTACCTGCGAGACATAGGAAGTATAGACAATGTTTTATATATTGACTGACAGATTGTTTTATGTTATTCTTTAAATTATATGTTATATGCATATTAGTATGTAGGAAACAAAGTTTTTAAAAAAGTGTTTTAAAACTGATCTAAATTTGTTAAAAAAAAATTTAATGAAAATTAATCCTGATATTTGAACCTAAACTTTACTCAGAAAAATAAGAGCCTTTGTTTAAAGACTGACAATGCTACTGAGGTTATTAAAAGACAGAAAACAATTTCAGCTTTCAGATGTAAATAATTTTAAAATTACCACAGTGTTCCTATATATATGACTTTTTTGTTTAATCTTTAAAATTCCCCAGGCATGGTGTTCTATGCCTGGAATCCCAGCACTCAGGAGGCTGCAGCAGGGCCAGCAACTGGGCTGGTATTTCTCACTCTCACACTCTTTCTAGGCAACATACCTGATGCCCAGACAGCCAGGGAGGGCAGCGCTTTTTTTTTTTCCTTCATACTGGAGCTACAGTAGAAACTTTTCAAACTTGTGTTTGCTTGTGTTCGTGTGACTGTGAAGTAGGAGCCCAAGCAAATTTTCATTTTCCACATATATTTTTAAGTAGTTGGGCCAAAGTGGTAGTATAAGAAGTAAACTTCAAGGCTGGCCTGGGCTACACAGGCGAGTTCAAGGTCAGCCACTGAGCTACATTTCTAGTTCTTTTTAAATAGTTTGTTTATTTATTTATTTATTTTTGTGCAGGGTCTGAGTATGCAGCTCTGACTAGTAGTGATCCTCCTGTTTTCTGCCTCCCCAGTGCTGGGATTACAGGTGTGCACCACCACACCCGCCCTCCATCACTGGCTCAGCACACCCAAAGGTGGAGCCGGCGTGGCATGAAGTGACAGGGATGGAACCCTGGTCCCTGCAATTGCCTAAGCAAGTGCTTAGTCTGTTGAGCTATCTCACCAACCCTCAATACTTTATTTTTGAGAAAAGGTCTTGCTACATTGCCCAGGCTGAAGCACAAACTTATGGTTCTCCTGCCTTAGCCTCCCAGAGTGCTAAGTTGCAGGCATGTGCCATCATACCTGGCTTGTTTTGCTGAGTAGTGCCATTTGGGCATTTAGTAGGGTGGCCATGTGTTGTAATTTGCTTGAAGATTTTCTCGTGATTGGGGTTATAGGTTTCAGGGAAAGCCCCACTGCCACTGCATGTATAGAAGACAGACATCACCAACATGACTTAGCGCTATTGACGTCAGCCTCTGACACCTGTCTGAGGGAGTTTCAGGTTTTTCCACCATAAAATTAATCTGTATTCTTCCTTTCTCAGCTTGGACTCTTGGGAAGGAACTCACTGTATGAGGCTCATAGTTTAAAAGGCGGGGATTTATTCTTTCCCCCCTTCAAGGTCAAATTATTTACAGAAATTATTTGGAATTCTCTTTTTTTCTTTTCATTTATGTATTTGGTACAGGGTCTTAGTATGCAGCTCGGTCTCACAGTGATCCTCCTGTTTTCAGTTTCCCCAGTGCTGGGATTATAGGCGTGCACCACACTTGGACTCCATAGCAGGCTCCGGGCACCTGAGGTGGGGCCACCGCAGCATGCGGGACTACTTGGAATTCTTGCAAGATGGATTTTTTAATATCCCCAACTATTAGTTTGATCAACTACTTATTTATGTCAGTAGTCTCACTACTATCTATCTTACATTTTGGGTTATAACCTAACATTATTTTTGTGGCTCAAATTATTCTAACATTACCACTGGGAGTTGTTTTAGTTAGTTTGTCCTTTGTTGTACCCTCATCCATTTTTTTCCGCATGCCTCCTTATCTTCTGCATTAGGAGATGTTCCCAGCTCATCTTAACTACTTACAGCTGGGGTCTTACAATTAATGATTTCTTCAAGGAGGCTGCCTTCCTTCTCTAGAGAATGTTTTCAGGCACCAAGATATTAGGTCAAACATAGTTTTCAAGTAAAGGGGGTTATTTTAAAAGAATATGATAATTTAGGAAAAACAAAACTAAGATCTAGTAAAAAAGAATACTCACAGAATTGTATTTCCTTACTTGCTAGCTCAGGACAAAAATATAACTTCACTGGTACCTGAAATGCAACAATTAAACCCTAAAACATTTTTTTGACTATTCAAACATAAGACTTCCTGGCAATGAAAAGTTTTCCTAATTGCAGCATGCAGTGCCAGGGGCCTGATACAACTCATAATGTTGGAAATAATTATAGTCCTTTTGAGAAATAATTTGGCAAATGACTTAAATTTCCTTCACCTAGCAATTCTACTTCTGAGAATTTATATTACGGAAATAATCTAAAATATGGATAAAGTTCATATGTATGAAAGAACTAATGACAGCATTATGTATATGAAAAGTTATCAGCCTAAAAAAATCCAAGATTAAAAAAAATCCAATATTAAGCATTTATTGAAAATATGCTGTTTTTAAAAATGGCAATAAGGCCAGGGATATAGCTCAGTGGCGCAGTAACTACCTAGCAAGTGCAAGGTCCTGAGTTTGATTTCTGGTACTCTTCTCCCAAAAGGCAATAAACTAATGATGGACTATTATGTAAAAAAAAAAATTGTAACAGGTTATAAAGGATAAGAGGATAAATTCCATTTTTAAGGTTTTATATCTCAGGTGTCAATGGAATGATCAAGGAACTATGTCTGGCAGAGAGATACATAAAAGAAACTCAGAAGAGAGTTCAGAGATGTAAACAGATTTGAGAGTTGCCAATACAGAGTCTGTAGATGGATCATGGGGATGGATGAGATTTTCTTTTTCATTTTTTTGTATTTTTAGGGAAAGATCTACAGGGCATTTAGGGTCTCACTACTAGATCAGACTCATAGTGATCCGCCTGTTTACAGCCTCTAAAGTGGATTAGATTATCTGTAGTAGAAACCAGCATGCATTTTCTTTCAAACCTCCCTCCAACTAGGTGAGGATACGATTAAAAGAGATTATGGAAAAGAAGCAAATCTTATAGGATAGAGGAGAAAAGAGAAGGAAAAGAGGAGAAAAGGGAAAGAAAAATTAAATGGAGTGTAAAAGAGAAAAACCCATTTAACTCAGGCATGACATTAATTCTGGACAAATACCTGTGGTTTTGTTTTCCAGGGCAAATAGCATAATTACTGGCTTGTTTGACCATAGCTGCATTTTTTAAACTATCACTTCAGGAAACAATCTGCAATGATGTCTTTTGTTAAAAATTGACTTATAAGAGCTACACTGGTATTACTGTTAACAAAATTTATTTTGATTTAACAAATACATTGGGCTAGTGCTAAGGATGCAAAAATGTATAAGACAGTCCTTTGCTATAAGAAAATTTAATCAGAAAAAAGACCAAGAAACAAATCAAATGACCTTCTATTTTTCTTGTCTCCTGTTTTCTTTTATTACCTTTTTTTAAACAAACATGTGAGAGAGTATAGCAATATTTTATATGGCATTAGAAGCATTACACATTTAGAAGACCAGAATGACAGGCATTCCAAGCATGGCTCTAGTATTATACATTGCTATCCTTGGTTAAGTTGCTTAGTTCACAGGTATCAGCATACGTAGTTAGTCAGGGTAATAATCCTACCAATTAACTGCAGGTTTCAAAAAACTGATGGAGATTCTCAGGACCACTGCCTTAACCATCTTGTGTATATAAATGTATGGTTTTGCCCCTGCCATATTTCCTAGTTTCTTGCCCTCTCTTTGTTGTTTAATCCTTAAGGAATGGATGAAAAAGATGTGGTGTTTTTATACAATAGAGTATTACTCATCTATAAAGAATGATAAACTCTAAGCCTTCATATACAAGTGGATACAACTTGAAGATATACTCATAAGTGAAATAAACCAGACCCACATGTGTAAATATCGTATAGTCTCCCTAGTGTAAGAACTCAAAAGAAGAAATACAAATTGAAAGGTCAAATTTCCAAGGCTTTTGGAGAGATCATTTTAGACTTTTTCAAAGAATTACAAAGAATTTGAAAAGAACAATCAAAGCCAGTGTACACTAGTACCAAATGTCTAAAATGCGAATGTAGAGTACTCAACTCTTGAGTGCAGTAGTGATGTATTATAAAAAGAATTTGGTAAAACTGTTGACAAATAGTATTGTAAAAACAATTCGGTAAAACTGTTGTTAAAACTGTTGATTTCTACAGATTGGCCAAACTCATAATTAAAACTCATTTCTTCTCTAAAAAAAATTGAAAGGTTAAATGACCTTCTTAAACACAAATTTAATTTAATCACACCCATCTACCTTAACCATTCTGTAGCACAGATTGTTGGCTGCCCCCAGTCACACCTCCCTTCTGCTATAGTGGAAAATAGAGACAACACCCTATGTGAACACATGTGGCCATACGATTTAGTTCTAAATACAAGTGGAAACAGCATCAGAAAACTTCCAGAAAGTGTTCTTAAAAGCAAAGAGCATCTACTCTTCCCTACCTTCTCTGGGCTGTTAGCTAGAATGTACACATGCTTCCTGTAACTAAGCTGCTACATGAGGTCAAGATATGGCCTTTGCAATAAAGGCTACACATGGCAGAACAGTACGATACCTGTAGCTGGTTACCTAGAAGCTGTACACTAGCTCTAGATTTTTTGAACGGACAGAAGATGAGCTCCTAGTAGCTAACATCTTTAGTGTGGAAATTTTAACAGAACTGTGTGTATCTTCCAGCTGTGTCTTTAATTCCTACTGATACAACTTTAAAATAGGATTTGAATGAATAACAAATGTATTATTTAAAATACAATAAACATCTACTGAAAAACTTGTATTAAGTGAAAATCCAAGTACGTATTAACAGACATAGTACTTTTTAAAAATCTCCCCAAAAGAGTTCCAGGCGGCGGGCGATGGCAGCGACCCGGGCCTGGACCTGCCCCAGCACGGAAGTGTCCTGGGGGCCGTGGCAAGCCGGAGACCGAGGTGGCATCCCGGCCTGCGTGGGGCAAGATGTTAAACATGTGGAAGGTGCGGGAGCTGGTGGACAAAGCCACCAATGTGGTTATGAATTATTTAGAGATTGAGTCTAAGGTTCAAGAAGCAACGAATGATGATCCTTGGGGACCTTCTGGGCAACTCATGGGAGAGATTGCCAAGGCTACATTTATGTATGAACAGTTCCCAGAACTTATGAACATGCTGTGGTCCCGAATGTTAAAAGATAATAAAAAGAATTGGAGAAGAGTTTATAAGTCTTTGCTGCTCCTAGCTTACCTCATAAGAAATGGATCAGAG